AGTACTTTAAAACATATAAATAAGTTACCCGGGCAATTGATTTACATCAGCCAATCAGACGAACTTCTTCCTATGAGATGCGATAGGGTAAATTATGCGTGCGATCGAGGTCAAATTATGCGATGGATGCGAATTATGCGATTTCTTATTTAGATTTTGTCAATTATGCGAAATCGTCGGAATATTCCGGACTTACTGCATCGGAAGTTTTCGGAATATTCGCCAGTCAAACACCATTTCCACCAATCACATCTTACCCACGTGCATTTTATGCCTTTTTTCCTTAATTATGCGAAGCATATGCGATGCGAAAAAATGGCAAATTATGCGCATATCGCAGCATCGCATAATCCTGGACACCCTACCCCCAATATAGTAACTCTGCAGATCTTATCCGGATCATCAATTAATTAATATACAAAAAACATATTATTATAACAAAGATTTGGCTTTTTTATTTTGTTATTGTTTTAATTATATAAAACCTTACAATTTTATTAATTAAATAATAATTATTTGCAATAAAAATTAGTAAAATTATTGGTTTAATATTAAAAGTATATAACAATTAATAAAATAAAAATAAATTTATTAATACTGCAACGTTCCGAAATTAAGCACGCCTTTTTTGCATTTAGTGCTGGCCAAAATTGTCATAATGCAGGCCGAAATTTGCATAATATGGGCCAGGGGTTCTTATTTTCGGGATGCTTAATTTCGAGTTGAAAAAACTTAGCTTTTTTTTTTTCTATAAACTCACTTCTTATAATAAAATTTATAATATAAAATTTATTACATAAGTACTTTATAAGTATTTTTTTTTTTTTAAAAAAAAAAAAGCACTAGTATAATTATGAGAGGTCTAACTTATAGTTGTGATCCGAAACCTGAAACTATATATAAATTTCCGAAACCGAAACCCGAAACCTTTCCCGAAACTCAAACACTATACTAAAAAGCTTAGAAATTTAGATTTAAACTTTAAAACTTAAAGTATATGATAATTAGATTGCATTCCAAGAGTTTTTTTAGTTACTTTATAGCAAATGAGTATTAATTTTAACATTCTAATTTGAAGGTTTCGGAAAGGTTTCGGATCACAACTATAGGTCTAACTGTATACAGTATCATAACTATTATTAAAATAATTTAAGAACTTTAAACTTAGAGCAATACCAGACCTGAAAGCTAAACTAATACGTATTAAAATATGAAATTAAAAAACCTAACCATAGAGCAACGCATTTCTTAATAATTTTTGCTAACGCTCGATCATTGGCCGCAATGCGTACTCTTCCTAAATGAACACTAATTTCTGGTTCTCAAAGTGCGTGTTAATGTACAGACCAGTATAAAGAAGAAAAATTGTCTATAGATAATTATTTCGGCCTATACTACGTATGTTAATGCCAAGGTTTGAAAAGACAGCGCCCTAAGCGTACCTCTTATGGTCCAAGCCACAAACAACTCGGATCTAAAACAAAGTTCCATGTAGCCTACTGTTACGTACGCACGTACGTAAGTAAGTACGTTACGTGCGTTATGATGTACGGGCGGATGTACCGTAAAGATATCTATAAGCAGCACAAAAGATATGTAACGGTGAATAAACATATTAGGGATGTCTAACAATGTAGGGCCGACGATATACCAAAAGAAGAAATTTATACAAATGGAGAAATAACCAAAAAGAAGTAACGGCGAAGTAACAAATCAAACAAACCATACATACGATAACCAAATCAAACAATCATACATATGATAGCATAAACTCAAAAGATTTACAAAAATCAAGACCAAAAAAAGAAAATAATATAAGAACCAAACAATGATAAGGGATAATGAAAAGGTAACAGAAGATTTAGATAACAAAATTTTTAATTCAATCAAATAAGGAATTGATCTGTGGCGTTACTTTCGAGCTATTTACAAATTTAATTCGGAACAATAGGATAAAACATATGGATTATCAATATGCATATACTGTATATTTTTTGTACAAACTGCATGCAATACAAATAAATAAGCCTGTGAAATTTTCCAAAAGGAAATAATAATTAGCATCGGTGGCTAATTACATATAACAATTTTGCAAGCCACCACAGCAAATAACATTTGATCTTATTGATCTTGTTGAACGACGGGTATGCCAATTTAATTTCTGATTATTCCCGTAATTCTTAGTCAAGTAATCCAACCAGAATTATAACATATAAGCATAACGTATGTTCATATTAATTCTACTTATATTTTCCCTTGATTTTAAATGATTTATTGTCGTTGATTAAATTGATTTAATTCTTGTATATAAAGACTTGCTCTACACTAAAACAAAAGGCAATTTTCTTTTCATTTACATGACGTGATGTAACTATTTACTATACTTATAAACAAACTAACCTCATTAACCGACTATTATAGATAATCTATAACTAGTGATACTATTTCCTTGCAGTGAACACGTGACTTTCTTGTTATTTGTATACTGACCCTGAAACCCTGTAAGTGTGACGATACCAATACCAATACAATTAATACGTACTATACTTCAATACTGTACGTACGTACGTACTTCAAAGAGGATATATACGCGACCTTTGACTGCAATAAATCAGGTGTAACAGTAAAATACCATGGATTTTAATCAATCTAATCTGGCATAACATACCTTTTTGGGAATATATGCGATTTCAGTTTTCTAGAACGAAATTTAACCTTTTTGCTTTGTTTTTCCTTTTTTAAACATTTAAGATAACTTTACGTGAACTTTACTGACGAACAATATTACTGATGAACAACAAGGATATTTGGAAAAGAGAGATATCTTACCGTATTAAGTGATCTACAAATACGTATAACTGTATATAGAATGAAAAGAAAGAAATCCGACAGATATACAGTAGATGAGAAACTTTGAGTGTAATGTTGACAGAGCAATATTAAACTTCATTATCAAAATAGAAGATCATTGTTTAGATTAGCAGAATCGTAGCAGAATTAGTACATTCATACTAACAATAAAAAAAAATGCAAATTCATAATAGTGATTGTGTGCCAAATTCATAATAGTGATTATAAAAACGTGGCATGATACCATACCATAAATAATCACGGGCTAATAGAGTCAATAGAGTTTAATAGAGTTTAATAGAGTTTAATAGAGCTTAATAGAGCTTAATACGTAGAATTAATAAGTAGGTAGTAATGGTAATACGTACATAAGTAAACACAAAAAAGTCCATAATTTAATACTAATACGTCAATTCACTAAATCACTAAAAAAATTCGCGCTTTAATTCAGTAAGTCTAGAGATATAATGATAACTGTCACGTGTAAAAGTATGCCACAGTTTCCCACCATTATTAAGATTATTAAGGAGGTTTGTGGCGGTAAAACTTTTTGAGCCAGTAATGCGTACGTACGTATGTACGTAAATTAGGCATTGGCTTACCGGTAGTGTTAAGTGCAACTATGGAATCATGAATGGATGATAAACAATTGTACAAATGATAAATAAAAAGTCATGTTTTTTGGCGCTTGTTGATACCGATACAGATAGAGATAACCATTTGAGAAGATAATCCAAACAGAGAAAGAAATCTTGTGTATCTTGAAATTTGTAATAATAATATATTTAATATTTTAATTTATTTATACGTTAATTACAAATTTACAAAAATGAGTTGTGATTTATTAAAAACGTATATCTATATACAAGAAAAAGTTTCCTTATTAAGTTCCTATTTGTGTGGCTTAACTATATTTTTTTTTAATCTAAATGTATTCGGTTCGGTCCTTTTTTGTTATTGGGTTAAACTAACTTTTTTGTTATTGGGTTAAAACTAAGGCTAAAAAATATTTTGTATCCGAAATATAATGATACTAATAAAAAAAAAAAAACTTAATTTTGTTTGTGTTTTTATGATTTTGCCAAAAATAAATAAATGATATAGATTTCCTTATTCGAAAGGAGTAATGCCATCAAGACCGTCGCCTTGTATCAAGTCTTGTCCAACGTCAAATTGTTCGTGAAGATATTGTGAATAATCAAAGTCTAGAAGTTCGTATGAGAAATCTGCATTTCCATTTTCATACATGTCAGAAGATAATTCTTGAAAAATATTATCATCATGCCATAATGGAAAAGCCTCCGGTGGCGTAGAGTATCCAAAAGAATCTGATAATGGAATAAAATCTGATTCGGTAGGTAATATCCAATATAACGAAGATGGTAAGGGTTGAGGATCCAAAGGTGGAGAAGGAGAATCCGATGAAGAGTTTGAATCATAACTGGTATCGGAGTTAGTATTATTAATATTATCGACTTGAGTAGAGTTTAACTTTAATTGTTTGTAACGTTGACGGACTTCTTTCGCTATCGCTTTATATTTATCTTTAACTTCAGTTGATTCACGCTTCCAAGAGATCGAAACCCAAGGAGAAACATCAGTCATCTTAAATCTAAGATTCTGGGCAACCAGTTCTTTTGTATATACTTTACGATAAATAAAGAAAGCATTTGGAGGTTTCGAAGGAAGTTTACGAGTTTTGCAGTTCATTAAATCCTCTACATTTATTTGTGGTGGAAAAGGTAAAACTAAAGCTGGTGGAGGACTAACAACCTTTTGTTTTTGTGGTTCATTTTGAACCAAAGAACTATGTATCGCGATTGGTTGTAAATGAGTAGCATCTATTCCTTGTAAATGGAAATGCCTTCCTAAAGTTTTTTGAGAAGAAATTGACTTCGGCATTATAATAAATTTATTTTGTAATAACAATATTTTTTTTCGTACTTTTTTTATCGTTTATAAGTTTAATACTTTGAAGAAAAAAAAATCCCTCCTGAGACAAGACGGATATTTATAAAAAATCCGGAAAAAGTTTGTATTTATTTTATTGCAAAATTTTTTCGGAATAATATGCACCAATTTTATGCTGTAGCTTGTATTCTATTTTTAGGAACTAATATATTAAAATTATATAAAAAAAATAAAATAACTCTAAGTTTGAAATGTAACCATCACGCGTGACTTGGTGGCTTTGGAATCAGTACAGAGATCGGATATCGGCCGAACTAATCTCTGCTGACCAAAATATTTTTTTTTATGACAGATTTGTTCATGATTTTGAAATTTTATCAAGTCCATCTCAAATATTCAATTTTTCCATATCATATTAATAATTACCTACTAACCACGAACTAACCACGTCAAAAAATTTCGTCAAATTGTAAAGTCAAACAATGTTAATAATTGATAATGTAACATATTTTTTTTTATGTAGTTGAAAGGTTAAACATAGTGTAACGCACATTTTAAAAATTTGACCAAATATTTTCAACTAAAGATTTGATACTTGTCTCTGAAAATTTTATTAATAGTTTCGGAACGCGTTGGGGATCGTTTAGATGCATTAATGTGTGTTCAATTACCTTTCTTATACTACCTTATACCGATAATATGCCGATAAGTATGCCGATAATTATGCCGATAATTATGAATCACTTTTTATCGACTTTTTCTGTACAATGCATAATATAACCATAAACCCAATTTAGTAATCGATTACCTAGAACGAGTCGGAAGTTATATCGATGTCCAAAACAATTTTTTCTTTGTTATCCCGAATTCTCTAAATTACTATATTTATAACTAGAGTGAATTTCTTTGTTACTAATAAAATATCGATTTTACTATTAAATTATATCGTTTTATTAATAAATTTCTACATAAAACTGGTATAGAAATGAATTTTATTCGATTAAAAGAATATTCGCGAATTCTTTACTTCGGTCTTACCAGTTTGTCATTGTTTAATTCTCATGTGAAAACCTGAAAAAAAAAACTGAAAATCTTTGATGTTATAATATTATGTTAAATTT